TTCTGGGAGGCCTTTGAAAATGTCATGATGCTGGCATAATAATTGAGCAGTAACTAAAACTTGTCGGATCTCTGTACTGATATCCTTATTTGGAAGTTTGAAGACATAAGAATTCATTAAACTGCGGTGATCATCTATTCAATATGCTATCACCTTATTTCTGAAAATTTGGATTCTGGATGTTACTTCTTTTAATTGTATTTTTGGAAATTCTGTCTCTGAAATAAATATTTACTATTTGAAATCCTGGATGAACAGTGAAAAAATTTAATCTGATTTGCATGTAGAAACATCAATTGTGAGATATAATGCTGTTCTGTGTGGCATAATAATTGAGAAGTAACTAAACCTTGTGGGATCTGAGCACTGATATCTTTATTTGGATTTTTTGGGACATGCATAACTTTGTAGTTGATTATTATGGGATCGGCTTTAATTTGTTTCTTATGGAGAAGTATGTTGATTTTGTTATATTCTGGCTGACAAGGTTGGTACTTCTGCAGAAGATATTCACAATGGCAGTTCTACGCAATCAAATCTGACTGCCTCTCTGTCGGAAGACTCTATTTCTTTCTCCAAGGTGGATATTATCACACCGGCGCAGGAAATGTTGGCTAAACAACTGACCTGCGTTATAGCCCCAGGGAGAAGTCTTCTTGTTACTGGTTAGTGGATAACTCACCTCTGTTACTGCTGTCTTTCTAGTATAATCATGTTGACAAATTCACTTTTGAAGGTCCAAATGGGAGTGGAAAGAGTTCCATCTTCAGAGTCCTTCGAGGCCTGTGGCCCGTGGTCAGTGGAATACTCGTTAAACCACACCAACAGATTAATTCTGGATCTGGGTGTGGTCTTTTCTATGTGCCTCAGAGACCATATACATGCTTGGGAACCCCAAGGGATCAAATCATATATCCACTCTCCCTTGATGAAGCAGAGAAAAGAGCATTAGGTTTGATAAAACTAAATGTTCATGCTAATGCTTCTATTTTCCTTTGGATTTATTTTCTTTTTGACTGATTAGGATGGTACGCTCATTGAACTTGGATACTTGATAGTTAAATACCATCACTAGCCGTTTAGGGATGCATTAAGCATTTTCTTTGCTTTGAGCTTTCTGTGCCTAGTTGCCTGCAATTGTGGGATGGTATATCTTGGATATTTTTGTGAACGAATTTGGTATGGAATATCAAATTCTTATTATGATTTAGTCTTGCAAGTGCTTCTAGTGAAATGCAAGCCATTGCTGATTTTATGGGTAGTGATGGCAGCTTTTTAAAGAACATAACCAATGAACGAACTTGGTTGAGTCCTGATTATGAGATTACTTGCTCATATATATTATTTCTGGAGACACTTATATCTCATCCTTATCTGGGCTAGTGAAACCGTGAAATGATGAATAGGTTCCTAATAAACAATTAGGACTCTCTTAAATATTGTTGGTGTCAGACCTTTGGCAGTTTTTGAGATTTATTTTTACCAACCTGGTCAGGGTTCAGTAGTAACCAGGTGGTGTTGTATATCCATGCACTTATTATAGTCTTCAATTGCTTGCCACCCATTTAGCAGCTCGTTAGTTAGACTTGACTGTCCAGGGCTGTTGGCTAACAGTTCTTTGGGCTATGATTAGAACAGGTCCTTAACACAAACCAAAGGAATTCTGGTTAAGGTGCCGGATGTGAATCTTGAATAGAAGAACTCATCAACCTTTACTTTTATTGATATTTGGGTATTGCTACTACCAACTGAATGCAATTAGTCGGCCTGACATTTTTCTCAATTTTATTAGAGGTGAAATGTTAGTGGCATTTCTAAAAAAATCAAATGGAAGAAAGAGTAGTGTATTTTCACAAGGTTGGAGTTCTTGTACATTCTTTATGAAGTGATGAAACGAAAGTATATATTTCGAGTCAGCAGTTTGATTTTGCCATTTGTATTTTCTAAATTATGAGGTTGCTGCTCTCAAATCATATGGTGTGAAACCTTCTTCTTTTTAGTCCACTGTGTTACTGTCTCAGCAGTTTGTCCCCTAAACCAATGCATCTTCATTTCTGGATAATTTTCTAGGTCACAAATCTGTTGGCGTGACAGACAGTTTGGATGCACACCTAAAAACTATTTTGGAGAATGTTAAGTTACTCTACCTTTTGGAAAGAGAAGGCGGATGGGATGCTAACCAGAACTGGGAAGATATTTTGTCTCTTGGGGAAAAACAGAGACTGGGCATGGTAAGTGCGAATGCAGAAATATAGCTTCTTGACAATGGGCTTGTTTGACATGTTAATTTAGAAAACTCTACGTAATTGTTGACATATTTTACTGTTTCACAAGGCACGACTATTCTTTCACAAGCCCCAATTTGGAATCCTTGACAAGTGCACCAAGTAAGTGAAGGCAACTCAGAATATTTCTTTCCCTTTTTTCTTTTACTGACGGGGACAAGAAGCTTACTCTCATCTTGTCTCTCCTTTCATCTTACAATTACAGTGCTACCAGTGTTGATGTTGAAGAGCACCTTTATAGCCTTGCTAATAATTCAGGAATCACAGTTATAACATCCTCACAGGTACATTGTGCTATTGACTGACTGGAAAAGAATCTTGGCTTTGTCTTTATTTACCTCGTAGTGAAATTGCATTGTTCTCAGCTCATGCATGTCTTCCTTACATATTCGCTTCAGTTTCTAGTTTTACCTCGTAGTGATGATTATGGGCACGAGGAGGCCTATTGTCTGATTGTCTCATTCACCATTACGTTCAATTCTTTTCTATAACGTGATTTATACTGCAAGTGTGTGGTGTCAAGTTTTGTAATAAAGTAATAGAGTTAAAGAGTGTCGAACCCACAGAGATTGTAATTTAATTTTGTATTAAGTACTATAATTATGTAGCATTTATTTTATCTAGACGAATGAGTTATGAATTAATATTGTTAGCTAATCTAATGATAATTTTGGTGACGAATTTAATGAATATAAATTATATGAATTTAATCAAGATGGAAAAGTCCAGAGAATGATTTCACCTAACTATCAAATATGATTCTCAAAAACTTGGTTATCTCTAATTAATTTTCTATTTTTATAAGCAATAACCCTAATATAATTCTACCACCTCTCGAGTGCAGGATATAAATTAATCCTAGAAATTAATTCCAATATCTCTATTTCGAATTAAAATTTAAAAATTATGAAGTTCATGATTCTTTTATAGAGTAAATTTCATATATCATATAATTTTTCTCGAAACATATAAAAACTATGTTGTGTTAATCTTATGATCGCGCCTAAATCTCCCTCTATCGAGTGTCGGAATTGACTAGTATCTACTTATTCAGTTAGTGGCAAATTAATTGAAGGCATTAAAATCATAACACAAATAAAAGGAATGAAAAATTTAATAGAAATAACTAAAATAAATTCAAATCATACTCTCAAATTTTGGTTACAATCAAACCTTAGAAGAATAGTTTAGTTCATGATAAGAAATATGAAATCTATACAATTCAAAATAAATAACATAAAGAAGAGAATTGAAAAAACTAGTTTTTGGATAGATTTTCAATCTTTTTCCTTGTTGTTCTTGCCTCTCTTTGATTTCTTGAATTATGCCAACTTTGCCTCCTTCAATTGGGTGTTGAATTCCCCTCTAAAAGTGTTCTTTTTGGTTGTATTTATATTATCATGAAATTTTGGAAGGGTTGGAGTTGTATTGGGTCAAGAAAAGAGTCCAAAAAATCAAAAACCTATTTCTTGCACAGGCAGCTTCTCGGCGCCCATGATTTTGCTGATTCTCGGCGACGGTGGCGCTGTGGCACCCATTTCGGTTGGAAATTCAGTATTGCGCGTTTTTCAATATTTTTATCATAACGTTTTCTCTCGATATCCGATTGAGGCGATTCAAGATACGTTGGAGATATAACTCAAAGGGCTATAATTTTGTTTCAAATATCATTTTCCAATTCAAACGTTTGCTATGTCAAAAATGAGTCTCAATATGAGACTATAAATCTGGAGCATAAGTTGGAAAATGATGTGTGATCGTACTTTGACTATATTTGATCAATTTGATTTCGTTCTTCATCCAATTGACTCTAAGCACTCTCGAATCTTCATTTTTAGGTTCGACACGACTTTTTGAGTATTTGCATTTTAGTCCCTAAACTTTGGATCTCTTACAATTTAGCTATCTTCTCCAATTTTGTCAATTATTGCTTATGTCCTTCAATTTCATCAACCTATATCACAACATCAAAACACATTAAAACGTTGTAAAGCTCGTAAAAATAAGTTAAATATCAAATTTAGATGATATCTAAAGTATGAGTGAAATACACTAATCAATGGCCTTAAATGTTTGTCTTTCTCTTCATGATATTGTTCTTTACATTTGAGGAGGTTTTTACAAGATTAAGGTCGGTTGATACATCATATTACTATTATGTTTTACCACATCTTGTTTGTTTTGTGATCGACTTAACTTACCATTTGATCTACATATCTATCTAAATAATTTATGGAATATGCTACTTGTACATAATGTCTTGTCCATAATGGTGTTCACCCTCTCACATGGAGGGGGACCCACTTTGAATATATTATATTTTATTCGAAGTGGGTCCCTCTCCATGTGAGGGGGTGAATACCGTTATTGACACTCCATTATGTACGTATAGCATCACCTATAATTTATTGTGTGCATTGGGTGCCTGTGATGTGACAGAGCAAAAAGGGACACGTTTAAGGATCTTTTGGATTATTATAGAGGATTTGCTATTCGTATCAAGTTGGATTTAATTTTTTAAGGATAATTTTTTTTAATTATTATTATTATTTTTGTAGTATTAGGATTTGTTCTATGTATGAAATCCATAAGTTAGATTTCCTTCGTAGTGGAAAATCTTTCACGCTTTCTACCTGAGGCATATTAGTGGTTCATTCACTTACCTATATCTCATCGTGATTTTTTGAGCTTCTTTTATCCAGTTGTTCCATTCGTTTAACTACTTGAGCAGCACTTTATTGCCTACGTGTGACTTATTATTTTTTCCTCTAAAGCAACTAGTTGTGTGTAAAGACCAATTGTTCCATACATAGGCCCCTTGAAATCCATCCATATTGGTTTTTGCAAGGATTCTGAGCTGTAAAGCCAAATCCTTTTTACACTGAACATATTCTGTGGGCCCTATGCTGGGAAAATAGTGGACAGCCTTTCATTTGTGCTTATGGTGGGCGGGAAATTAACCTTTTTCGCTGGTGCTAGGCTTCAATTCATACAATATGTGCAATCTACTATTTTCTTCTCTTGTGCAGACTTTTCAATAATCTACTAACGTTTGAACTTCTCTTCACATATTGCACGATACAACTACAATGATCAGTCACTGATTTAAACATTTAGTCGAAGGTCCTGAAAACCAAACCCTTCGGTGCTTTCGTGAGGAAGTATGGTAAAAGCGAAAACAATAATTTAATATATGAGGTTTTGAGCTACTTTTTAATCAAGCTGATCTTGTAATAGTTAACTTCAAAGACTCGAGATCCTACATAGTTAAACTTAGAAAAAAGAAAAAGAAAAACCTTCATGTAAGCAATTCAATCCATTTAAAGCTCATATGAGTCGTCAGATACCAAGATTGATATTTTCAAGCACGGCACCACCTTATAAGAGTATTTTTAGAGTGTGTCAACAGGTGATTGATATTAATACTAATACAAAGATTCGCGTTGCCGATTAGTGTTGTCAACAGTATTATAACACACCACTCATCCAAAAGGACTCCTTAGAGAATTACTAACCTTGAAGAAAATCCAACGCAAAAATTATAAAAAGATTCAATTGGTGTCCATCTAAATTGATGTTTTTATTATATTGGATGATTAGAATTAAATCTTTATGATTGTGTACCTCTAATCTTCAATTAATTAATAATTAGTGGAGATTACACATAAGATAGTGTGCATACCTTCCTACCACTGTCTACATATTGCATATATATCCCACCAAGAAGTACACTTCTCTTCATCTAAACTCTCTCTCTCTCTCTCTCTCTCTCTCTCCAAGTAACGCACTTCTTCTTCCTCAAGAGTTCTTTATCTCACAGACAAAGATATGGGGTATCAGTCTTGTTCTTCTATGATCAGCTGTGAACTGAGAATCATTAGAGCTAAAAATATTGATCTCAAACCCACGGGAGAACTATTTGTCAGATGCTATCTGTCTGCAGGAAACAACAAAAGAGTCCAAATAAACACCCAACAAATCTCAACAAAATCTGATTTGATTTGGAATCAGACTTTCTCTTTAGACTGCTCGGGAAGTGACGAGGACACCATTTCCTTGCTCAAACAGGGAAGTGTTGTTTTCGAGCTTCGATGGAGAAGCACTGTACCTTTTGTCGGCAGAATCAATGGCTCAAAATTGTTGGGAAGAGCTGAGATTCCATGGAAAAATGTTTTTGTATCACCAAATATGGAAATTGAGAATTGGGTTGTAATGATCCCAACAGATCATAAATGGGTCGATGAAGATGCTAAGCCAGCTGCTGTGCAAATAGGAATGAAAATTCAAGAATCTCCACAAGCGTCATTAAAGAGAAGGAAAAATGATAGAAAGTGGGATGAGTGTGGCTGCTGCATGGATGGCATGTGTCGTTCATGTGTAGATTATGACATATTTGCAGTTGGAGCTGCTTTTGAAGCCTTGTAAAGCTAACTAGGGTTACTCTTGCATTAAATTTTGCATAAAGTTATCCAAATTTTGTATTTAGTTTATGTGACAATTTCAGCTAATTAAATTTTGCAAATTTTAGTTACCTTTTGCCTTTCCTCAAGCATTTTCATCATTTTCAAGCTACGATCAAAGATGACATACTTAATAGTGTCCACTATTAATAAGCATTCAATATGAGGAACGATTGACGGTCATTACATGTTCTTTAGTCGGTAATGAAGAAAAAATTGAAGAGAAAACTGAAGGATTTCGAGTTAGGTTATCGAATTTCTGCTTAGTGTTTCAATTAAGTTCGTGCTTTCGAATTTTGAGAGGTTCTCACTTCTCGTAGTTGTTACGTAGAATAATTATCAGCAAGAGATGTGATTATTGTGTACAACATCAAACTTACTTCTACAACATAATTTCAGAAATTTAGAAAGGTAAAAAAATTTCTTTAAACTTCCGTGCTGGATTTAATTAACCATAAATTTCGGTGTGACCAAAAGGCCATGCCGGGCTAAGGGTTGTCCTAGCATGGGTCACTAAAAGACTGGTCTCATCTGAGTAACACTTCTATTCCAATTTGTTGTGGTTTGACTCAAATTCTAGTGGGTATTGGAATCTAAATTGGAGTGGTCTTGAATAAATCAAAATTATGGATCGGAGGAAAAAGTCGCCGCATTTTCGCTAGCCTAGCGCTAACGGACGCTCGAGCGAGCCCGGAAGAAAACAACTCGAAACTTGGTCGCTCGCCTAGAGCTACCCTATCGCTCGCCTCTCGCCCGCCTGTCGTTCGAGCGACAGGCTTATCCAGCCCAAGCCCATTTTCTTTTTTTTTAACGCACTTTTGGACTCATATTCTTCCACAACAGTAGTTTGAATGAAGATGTTGTATTATTCAGAAATTTAGAAAGGAAAAAAAATTTCTTTAAACATCCGTGCTGGATTTAATTAACCATAAATTTGGGTGTGACCGAAAGGCCATGCCGGGCTAAGGGTTGTCCTAGCATGGGTCACTAAAAGACTGGTCTCATCTGAGTAACATTTCTATTCCAATTTGTTGTGGTTTGACTCAAATTCTAGTGGGTATTGGAATCTAAATTGGAGTGGTCTTGAATAAATCAAAATTATGGATCGGAGGAAAAAGTCGCCACATTTTCGCTAGCCTAGCGCTAACGGACGCTCGAGCGAGCCCGGAAGAAAACAATTCGAGACTTGGTCGCTTGCCTAGCGCTACCCTATCGCTCGCCTCTCGCCCGCCTGTCGTTCGAGCGACAGGCTTATCCAGCCCAAGCCCATTTTCCTTTTTTTAACGCACTTTTGGACTCATATTCTTCCACAACTTGTTCTCTAGGGTTTATATATATATATATAACGCGACTTGTATAGAGAAAAACACAAGAAAAACATTTTCATTATATTCTCTACATATTTAACAACATATAAAGAGATTAAGAGTTTAAATTTCAATTAAGATTATTGAAATCTTGATATTGTAAATACAAAACTATTGATTATAGTGGATTGTTCTCCTATACCCGTGATTTTTTCCCGAATTGGGTTTCCATGTAAATTAACTATTGATTATAGTGGATTGTTTTCCTCTACCCGTGATTTTTTCCCGAATTGGGTTTCCACGTAAATTCTCGTGTTTTTATTTTCTTCTTTATTATTTTCATTATCTTGCGATCTGTTTCATAACAAGTGGTATCAGAGCGTGAGATTGATTGTTCCGCATGGTGACAATGAAGTATGACATTCCGTTGTTGGATAGAAACACGAGATTTATATTATAACAAGTGAAGCTGCAATCGGTGTTGGCGCAGATGGATTTGGAAGAATCCTTGCTTGACTTTAATAGGATGCCTGATACCTGGACACAGGATGAGAAGCAGTGTGTAGGGATCGAAAAGCCCAATCTCAGATTCATCTACATCTCTCGAATTAGATTCTTCAAAATGTTCTTAAGGAGAAAAGTGTCGGTGTGTTGTAGTTGGAGCAACTTTGCATGACAATGAATTTGACCAGTAAGCTATACTTGAAACAGCGCTTGTATTATCACTGAATGTCTGAAAGTGTGTCATTGGATGATCACTTAATTATGTTCAAAGAAATCGTGGATGATTTGGAGACATTGAAGGTTAAGTATGATGAGAAGGACTTGGCTTTGATGTTGTTGTGTTCACTGCCACCATCATATGTGACTTTTAGGGATATTATTCTCTATAGTCGGGATACTCTCACCGTGGAAGAGGTCTATGATGCTTTACTATCTAAGGAGAAGTTGAGGCATCTTGCTGGAGGATCTGGAAATCATGCTGAGGGCTTGATTGTGGGTGGGAGAAATCAAGATAAGACTCTTGGCATAAATATGATCTAGACATGCTGAAAAGACATGTTATTACTGTGAGAAGAAAGAGCATATTAGAGTTGATTGTTATGCCTTGAAAAACAAAAATAAAGCTGATGGTACTACTGAGAAAGGGAAGCAACATGTTAATATAGTAGATGCTAATGCTATGCAAGATGAGCAAAGTGGTGGATAGCTTCTTGTGATTTCTAACAGGGATTCTAAACCTTGTGAGGACTGAGTTCTTAACTCGACTTGTACTTTTCATATATGTCCTAACAGGGACTGATTTTCTACATATGAAGAAGTTTCGAGAGGTGCTGTGGTTATGGGAAATAACGCGCTTTGTAAAATAGTGGGAGTTGGCACAGTCAAAATCAAAATGTTTGATGGCACTGTCAGAATACTTACAAATGTAAGATATGTTTCAGAACTAAAGCGAAATCTCATATCTTTGAGTGCACTTGATCAAAGAGCTACTGATACATTGGTGAATGTGGAGTTTTGAAGGTGAGCAAGGGCGTTTTTGTTATCATGAAGGGGCATAAAAACTCTATACAGTTGTACATTTTGCACGGTTCCACAGTAATTGGGAATGCAGCAGTTTCTACTTCTTCTTTGACAGATGATGAAGTTACAAAATTTTGACATATGCGACTCGGGTATATGAGTGGGAATGAGGCTTCTTGATGGGTAAAAGACCAGTAAAATAGAGTTTTGTGAGCATTGTGTCTTTGGAAAATAGAAGAGAGTCATGTTTACTAAAGGAAGACACAATACGAAGGGAACACTTGAATATATCAATTCAAATTTTTGGGGACCAGCTAGAGTACCATCTAAAGGTGGCTATTATTACTTGTTAACAGTAATTGATGACTTCTTTAGAAAAGTTTAGGTATTTTTCTTGAAGCAGAAGAGTGATGTAGTTGAGATCTTCAATGAGTAAAGAACGTTGGTACAAAAGCAGACTAAAAAGCAAGTGAAATATCTACACACTGATAATGGGTTGGAGTTTTGCTAAGATGAATTCAATAACTTCTACAGGGCTGAAGGCATCTTGAGACACTTGATAGTAAATGAAACTTATCAACATAATGGTATGGCAAAACGGATGAACAAAACTTTGATGGAAAATGTTCGTTTTATGCTTTCAAATTATGGGTTACCTAAGTCTTTTTGGGCTGAAACTGCTACTACAACTTGTTTTCTGATTAATCGTTCATCCTCAATTGTCATTGATAAAAAAAACACTAGAAGAGGTGATCTGGTAAACTTTCTTGCTATTCTGATTTAAAAATTTTATTGTGTCCGGCTTATACTTATGTGAATAATGGGAAGTTTGAGTATGGGTCTAGAAAGTGCATCTTTCTTGGGTATAAATCAGGTGTGAAGGGGTATAAGTTATGGTGTCCCGAGACTAGAAATGTGGTTGTTAGTAGGAATATAGTATTTGATGAACTTACTATGGTTTGTGGTTCATCTTTTGGGGATTCTGATAAAACTGATGAGCAGAATCATTAAACTCATGTAGAGTTAGAAATTGGTTCAGAGAAACAATTAGAGATTGTAGAATAGTCATAAATCACAAATTTTATAAGTCACAATTTATTTTATGGTTACAAAATATCAAATTAATTGATCAAAAATTATATTTAGGTTTCAATTTATCAAATTATTGGTAACAAATTAATAAATATTTAGGTCACACAGTATGTATTAGTCACAATTTATCAGTTTCATTTGTCACATATTGTTTATTGGTCACACACCAATCAATTTATTGATCACAATCAACCAAATCATTTGTGACTACCACCACACAGTTGCAACAGCACAAACCACAACCACCACCACCACCACCCGGCAACAAAACCATCGTCTCGAATACCGTAGCTAACATCACCACCAACCCACAAACATCGTACCACCACCACTACCAGATCTCCACACTTGTAGCACCACCATCACGACTTGTACCACCAACGTAACCCACCATCGCACCAACATCATCGCAGCGCCAGTAGCCAGCAAAAGGGTATCCCCTGCCAAGGTCCCTAGAGCCCATACCACCACCACCTACACAACCGACAAAAACTCCCAACACCACCAAAATCACCCCAAACCTTTATATGCAGCATCATAACCAACAATACCAACACACCCCAAGCAGATTCACCACCGCCGTCAGCATCTCACCACCGTGCACCTCACCATCACTATAGTGGTAGCATGAAAACCCCGCAAATCAGATCTAACCACCACAAAGTAGATCTATTACACTGTCACTGCTGCAAACCACAGGGCTAGAATTGATACTATTCTTCGATTTGAGCTTCAGTTTCAGTATGCTCTGATCGAGAAATGATTTCAATAGAGTAGTATTATCCGGGTTATCACCCGATCCAGTTTCGGCCGAGGGTGGGTCCGTTTCGTTTTCCATTGCGTCCATATAGTCGAAGAAGAACTAGGAGGAGATGAAATGATCGGCTGGGTAGCGTTGGCGAAGCTTTTCCATCTTGTGGCAGCACTATGCCGAAGTCTTGGGAATGGGTGCGTCAGAGAAGCGGTTGTTGACGACGGTCGCCACCGTATCCCAATCCGTCGTGCTCAGGTATCCTCTGTGAAGTGCGAAGAGAAGAGGGGAGGAGAGAGAAGACGGTGAGACGAGAGAAGAGGAGGAAAATGTTTTGATTAGGGTTTGGAATGAAAAGTATATAATTAATTTTAATATTTAAAAATGAAATATATGATCTTTGAAAAGTAAAACATAATCTCTAAAATTTGAAATTGAATTGTTTTGTGTAATTTCCACTTATTAAAAAGTGGCCAAATCTAAAGTCCATTTGGATTGACACAAAACCAAGCCCAGTTTAAACCATCCTCCTCAAAGACCAAATTCACCATTCACCATTGCTGAGAGCTTCAGTGTTCAGTCCACTCTAGTCAACGATCTGAGAATAATGGGAAGCAGACTAGGAAGAAGAGTAGTATACTTTGCTAATCTCCCCATAAAACTCCTCATGCCTTCATCTTTCTCCAATATTTCTGAAATTGCTCTCAAAACCATCCCCTCCGCTTCAAAGGTTCAAATATATGTTTGTGTGTATATGTATGTATATAATGTATAATCATTAATTATGCTTTGATATTTATTATTTTGATTTTGCAGATTGAGATTAAGCGGGTTTTAGAATCACTTTATGGGTTCGAGGTGGAGAAAGTCCGGACACTAAACATGGATGGAAAGAAGAAGAAGCGGGGAGGTTTATTGATCGCGAAACCTGATTACAAGAAGGCTTATGTGACCCTAAAAAACCCCTTGTCGATAAACCCGGATCTTTACCCAATCCGGATAATTGAAGAGGACAAAAAAAGTTTGAATAAACAGTCAAAATCGAGCATTGTGGAGGATCCGGAAGCTATGAAGAAGTCACATTGGCTTGATGAGAAGAAAGATGGCAGGACATTTAAGAGGCCAGAAGGGCGTACATTTGGCCGCCGTGGTGGCAGGGATGGTGATGGAGCAGAAGGCACGAGCTCGGGGGCAAAATTTCCATGGAGCAGCATGAGGTCTTTTGGGAGGTAACATGCATTAGCTGTCGAGGTTTATTTATGGGGAGCTGAAATGATGGTTAGGTATTATAGAATGTCACCGGTTTAATGGTGTATGATGTTGAAGTAATAATGAGTTTGGGGGATTTTATTGATAGCATTAAGGTGAAAAGACATGGAAAATAATTTTCATTGTTGTGAACTTGAGTTCTTTCTGACTTCTTTTAAGTTGTTTATTGTGATGGTGATTCTGCATTGTGAAATAAAGATTGAAAATGAATTTTAAGTTGGTTTTTGGTTTTCTTTGCTTAGTGGAATTATGATGTTGATGTAATACTGTAATGAAACACGAAAGAGGTTTTAAAAATCACAGTATTTTTATTTTTTCCTATTGATTTCAAATTGAAGAGGATTAGTTTATGTTGGATACAAAGCGAATGCCATTGTTAGATTTCTAATAGTTGATTTTTGGGTTATCAATATGCTGGTGAATTCGATCTTTGATCAATAGATAAATTGGAATGCTGTTATTAGAAGAAAACAAAATAATGTAGAATATTCTAGTTGGACTGTATTTATTATTGTGACAATAAATTGATTCCCTCCGGAGCTAATAAAATTGAATAAGAGAGTCAAGGCTTTTGTTTCTCTGATGGAAATATCAAGTTACAGAAAAATTATGTACAAGAGCAGTTGCATTGTTTATTTGTAGCAGCAAATGTCAAATCTTTAAAATTCAAAAAACTTTGGTTGAACTTATAATGTTCATTGGTTTGGTGTAAAGCGTGACAGAAGTAAGTCACTTTTAGAGTTCACGAGTAGGTTTGTTGTCTAATTTATTAAATTGTTTATTGGCTGTTATATTACATTGTTTACTGGCTGTTATTTTAGAATTATGCTGCTTAATGATTTGAAAAAGTTGTGAAATGAACTTATATATTTTATTTTTGTGGATTAGGCACAGTATAACATGTTTTATTTGATGCAAAAGTTATGACGTTGCATGATGAAAAATAGCTGGTATAAATAGTGGAGAAAATCATGCTTGTTTGTGGTTTAGTACTAATAGATGTAACTTTATAAGGATGAGGAGTTTAAGGGCTATTGATGCAATAGGAGACATCGATATTTCATTTGCAGATATAAACTCAATAGATAGCTTAATAGTGCTTATGATATAAATCTGCCATAAGTTTTAAAATTTGTCCAAATTCCTTGATTAGTCCGCTTAAGTGACAATTTTTTCTATCTACTTAAGACCAAATTTGATTGCTGACCATACCTTAATAGCTATTCTTTTCTATTAAAAAGCTATTTACTTATAAATTAAAAACTTTTTTCTTACAATAATTATTGCAATATATCTAAGTGTGAACTGAATTAATCCATGGAGCAGCATGAGGTCTTTTGGGAGGTAATATGTTCTAGTTTTCAAGGTTTATTTATGGGAAGCTGAGATGATGGTTAGATATTATAAAATATCAGTGTGTTTAATGGTGTATGATCTTGAGTAAATTTTCATCTGGGGGGTTTTAGCATTATGGTGCAAAGACAATGGAAAAAGAATTATTATGTTGTGAATCTGTGTTCTTTAAGTCGTTCATTGTGGTGGTGCTTTGGCATTGTGAAATAAAGATTGGAAATGATTTTTAAATTGGTTTCTGATTTTCTTTGTTTAGTGGAACTGTGATAGTGATGTAATGGATGGGCAATGCAAGAGGTTTTGGAACTAGGATTCTTGATTTGTTTCCCAATGTAAATTGTGAATTTCTATGTATTTTCCCCATCTAGGTTGGAAATTAAATGTTTTAGTGTTTGACCATGTCAGTTGTTAGAGCTTTATGTTACATCATGGGAAATTTTATCCAAGATGTTTCTTCAAAGAACAAAACTGCTATTATTATTTGACATTCCACAAAATCCAAGGTCAAATGACTGCAGACCTTCTATTTTACATCTTTTAAGAAAAAAATGCAACTCCATGCATTCATGCTCCCAGGTTTTTCCAAGCAATAGATGCATCCATCGGGCAACTCCCTATACTTTTTAACAAGAAACAGAAGTACAGAAGAACAACTCTGTGCTAACTGCTGAACCTAAAATAATTTATTTCCCATTTGTAAGATGTATTGGTTTTTGTTTCAGAGCTTCTGTATCGAATCTTATATTTGGTTTTGTCAGGCAATAGATTGTCTTCGGTGTAAGCTACCCCTTTGGTTCTTTAATTGTCTCTTATGACTTTCGTCGGTATCTTCCTCATCCATTTTTGTATGAAAAAGAGCAGACTTTCTGATTTTCTGCCATCCAAGAATCCAACCCGATGAGTTCCTCTGCTTAATGATTAGCTTTTCATATTCTTGTTGCAGCTCAGAGTAGTCTTTCTGCAGTTCAGCCATTTGTGACTTTACTTTCTCAAGTTCTGCTTTGAGGGCTCTGACTTCTTTCTTTGTAGATGACCAACTAACTTCCTGCTCCGAGTTGTGACCACTTTCTGTTTGATTTTTTCCTTGTATTTCTGTCCTTAGTTTTGCTTGCTCTGAGAATAAAACCTGCGTATCATCTTTTTGTGTGTCAAAATTCGGAAGACAATGGCTTTCTGTGCAAGTAAACAATTGGTTTGAATTCAATTGAGTTGATTGGCAAGGATAGATTTATTTATGCTTTAGACTCTGTATGGAAAATTTAATAAATTATTTATAAATGGTTAAACTTCATTTTCAACCACTTATTCCAATGGACCAACAAGTAATATCCACTTATCTACCACTCATTTTCCATGTATTTATAAATTGAACTGTTTATAAATTCTTCCCAAACGGAGGCTTAGTNGGGGGGGGGGGGGGGGGGTGGGGGGGGGGGGGCTGCTTATTGAATCCACAAATGTTTCTTCACGGATTAACATCCGTTAAAAAGAAATTAAACTTAAACAATAAATAAATAAATAAAGAAGACCACTGACCACCAACTCAAACAGAGATCTGAAAAAAAAAAAGGGAGTGAAGAGCAGCAGAGCCTCTTTTACACTGGCTCTAAATCAAGAATGCTTTTCTACAAAGTCAGCCGAATATGAGTTCTACTAAATTTTCTACTTACGTTTTTACTCTCTGTCAAAAATGAAATTGTAAAATTGTGCCCTCTGCAAACATTAACAATGTAAAACTTGCCTTTTTAACTCCTTTTTTTTCTGGCTTTCTTACAATTTACAATAGTTATAGTTGACGGATAGAAGTTATTTTGGTGATGCAGAAACTTGTCTAACTGTTATTTGTCCAATCATGAATGCTTTCTTTAATAAATTTCATGTATCTTTGAAGCTTCTGTTACCTAGTTGTTTGATTGAGTCCTTTTTTTACAAATCATATTCAGATAGATGGGCAAAATGGCACATAATTGTATTTTGGAGAGCTAAAGTATCAGATACATGGTTCTTCCTTTTTAAAAAAAATAAAAATTATTCGACTTGGATATAGTATGGGCCTGGAATCATTATTGTAAATTACCTGAATCATGGTCCTAAGAGGCAACCTGTCATTTTGTGCAGCATGTGCACATGCATCAAGTGACAGCTTCTCACAATCCATGACTTTGCATAGCCTCCTCCTCTCATGTTCTGATAGTGATGGATGAGTCTACATATTTAGATTATCAGTTGAAACTTATTTGATTGAAGAAATTAGAAGCAAAAGAATTCCGGGATCGAAGATAACCTTGAGATAGGTGTCAATGGCTCTATACAAGCCATCATCACATGCTCGAGCATTTTCTGGCAAGGATTCAGCTAAAACTTGAAAGTTGGTGACTGGGAGATTAGGGTCTTTTGCGATTTCTGCTAGGTAACTGTCTAGGAGTTTACCGATGGCCAATGTCCCAGGCTTTTGTGGTTGTTGCTGCTGTTGCTGTTCGTACAACAGGAAATATTCCAAAATCCTTTGCACTACGTTTATATTGTGCATAGTGGGTCCTTCCATTGAACTGGACCTACCATTGATGAAATTAGGCAAATGATGTGCGTGGAGCATATCATCAGTAATATTTTTGAATTTTTTTCTAGACTACCAGACTTGAAATTTAAGAAGAGAACGTAAAAACTCACATGACCAGTTCCCCTTGATCCCCTGCTGTATAACTAGGAATCAGAAGATCATTAACGTTGGCATTCTCTAACACCAACCCTAGTCTTTTTTCAAGCTCTGAAACTAAAGCTGGCGATGCTGAATAGACTATAGCTACCTTTAACATTTTAGAAAGGAACTTACAAGGAACTGCTTCTTTCTGAGGAGGCAGTATACTCACTAAGCTCTCTATTATCGTTCTTTGCTCCTTCATGTGTCCGATGTCCACTTCCTGTCTTCTGCCACTTGTAATACTCCATTGCAAATCATTTTTCCCATAACCAAACCTTCCTACTCTGTCGATCTCTACTTCGAGGCTTGACAACCATTTCTCCCCATATTGCATGATGCAGGAACCTATATTTTCCGGCCTCATTTCCTTTGCTCTTAATGCTATTATAATTCTTGTGAAATGATCAATTCGAAGTGTAGCCACATCGTCGAACCACCACGTCTCTTCATTTATTATATCTTGTGTTGTTGAAGTTTCTCGAGAAGCCTTCCAAGCAATTGAGTCACAACATCTGCGAACAATTTGAAGGTTCTCAGCCCATGGAGAGAGAGTTTCACATGATTTAAGTACAGTGATGGAATCTTTCCATGAAGAGAGGACTACAAAAGTGAAGAAAGCTTCTGCTTTAGAGATGAGATTCCCATCTTCAAGTGCTTCTGTCATTTCTAGGAATTCTGATGCACATCTTAGTGGAGCTACATTATTAGGATTCAGACTAATTGGAAGACCGTAGCAAAACTTCAAAATAACTTCAAATGTTTCTGAACCGCCTGGAAATTTTTCAAGCTTGAGGTCACAACCTAAATTTGAATTTGGAGGCTGAAGTTCGATTCTGCCAAAGTAGCCACACCTGGAAACCAGTGGAAACTGTTTCACGAGAAAATTGCTGAGGTAAGTATCGATTGAAGTTATCTCGTGAAAGCATAACTCAATGAATATTGCTGCAGCTTATTAATAAGAGTATAAGGCTTGAACTGACATGATAGAAAAAAACATTGTTAGAACTCCTGTTTCTCTCCATTTATTAATATGGGTTTGCAACACTAGATCAGAATATACTACTGGCTATTTCGTTTGTCTTACTATGGAATTCTTTCAAGCTTACTAACTTTTTTTTTAATATTAAATTTTTAGCTTAATCAAATTTGAGTTGTGACTTTTCGTTCATTATATCTAGTTATGTATGATGCTCACTTCTGGAGGGACAGTAATCTCATTAAACATTATATAGTGGAGAAGAGAACTACTAGAATAGGTTTAATCACATGAAAACTCCTTAGCTTTTATAATTCAACTATTCTAACTTTGTAAAATTGGAAGGTGTACAATGCACTGAATATGCCAGCTGGCAATTCACGAGACGTAATACTGTTACTTATTTGAAGGATTGCTATCTTTGGAAGACAGAAGTAGCTATTATGCATACTTTCAGTAACGTGTACAAATGTTTTTTTATGATATTTAGAATATAACCCTTTCAAGAGATCTTGATTGATTAAATTTTGTATAAATAGTGTTGATAGTTTGTGTCTTGGATGATTAGTGAATGCAGTCCTTGTATATATTGTACCTTATGAACATAAAAGGTGATATCTTGAACTTGAATTGAGAAGTCTGTTGGAATTTGAGAAATGGCAAGCCTGCATGACAATGCCAGATGTGTTGATATTCATTGAGAATTATATGAAAGAGTAAGTAATATATGAAGAAGAAATGAATCAATATCAGAGATACAACTATTTTCTCAGGAATTAAGATGAATAGAAAGAAGTCACCAGTATTTGGTGAGGTAGAGTAAACAGCATCGGACAGTAAATAAGGAAAAAAAAGTTCATTTTTTTTGTCGCAACATGGTCGATAGGTAAAATGTTCTACTCATCCATTTCTTGTTGTACCAGAAGAAAGGATCTTAAAGTTTTTACCATGAATGCTCTTTCTTCTCGAAGCCATCTGCTTTGGTAATAAGCTTTTCAGGAACTACTATACTTCGATTCTGAACTTCGTGGGGGCAATCAGAATCACTTACCGGGCTTTGTGGCTGAATGGAAAGCTTCATGGTGCTTGTGTCTGGATCTTGCTGCATAACTACTTGTAAGTTATTGGAAATTCTTTTACTCATTCCTTAAAAGGAGAATGTAATGAGTGGGACACGGCTTGAGTAAATGCTTGAGAAGGAAGTTTGTGGTGATATATAACCTGCCAGTGAAGTATTATTGAGAGGGCAGTTGAGTGGTTTCTTGAATGTCTTTTCCAAGTGGATGTCGTGAGAAAGAGGGGGCAAGTGAGTTAATGCTCTATACCCAGGTTGAACAGAAAGAACGTTGGCTTACGATAAGTCCCATTCAAATTATACCACGTAATTGCAAGCTAGACCAATAGATGATTTTGTGGTTTTTAGGGAATGTATATTCATTGATGGACTAATATTAATCACAAATCACAATATAGAATGGAACTTCAGCCTCCAACTTCAAACCCCTATAGTAGTAGTAGCCCAATCAAAGTATCGCACTTTGCTTGACTCAACATCGACTAGAGGGTTTTATTACAATTCCTGCTTATTTTAGCAGTTTACTTGGGTTAGAGTTCATATGTTGAACTGAAAAGCCAGTGTCAATTGGCTGTGATGTTAATAACTCTCTTGGCCCTCATCACTAGTGCATGTTTGCCGGCAGCTTCAAATTTAATAATGGATATTCCTTGAAATTACTATAGGATAAGTTTGGATGTGATATTATATTCCAAATTTAGTAACATTTTGCGTTCACCACAACAGCACCATTAAGTTTGACTTGTATAATGTTGAAGACTTCAACTTTGTTGCACTTAAATTTTCAATGTATGGTTTTCATTCATTTGATTGTCAAAAGTGACGTGACTTGTATTGAGAGGTAACACGAGATAATCGCTTGACTTCGATAGAGATATAGATTTTTGAAAAAAAGAGTCGATTACTTTCTCCATCCCTTAATGCTCCCCCAACTACCCCTGCTGCTGCTCCTCTCAACCTACACTTCATTTGACTTCCAGTGTGAACTTGGATTGGCACTCTGGGAGGAGAAAGAAGTGGAGAAGAAACTTGGTTCTTTATTTTTTAATTAAAATTGATTTTAATTTTATTTATTCTACGATTTGTCAGCACATATACGACTTTTACAATGGTGAAGTAGATGTAAACCATAATTTTGGGACTGAAGTGTATAACTTCAAGTTGGGACCTAAATAAAAAGAAATGAAAGTTAATAATCCTAATGCTTGTTCACCTATAGAGAGACTAGAGTATATATCACTGTTCTAAAAAGTGTAAAGTATGATTAGACGTCGAGGTCAAACTTCAAACTTTACGAGCGTATGCATAAAAAGACGTTTTCTTACTTTTAATATTTTTAATCATTTTAAAAATTATTTAATAATTAAAATAATACATACCAAATATCTAAAATTATAAAATACTACATTTACTTAATAATTTTTACAATTAGTAATTATACAATTTTCAAAGAATAAACTTAAAACTAAAATCAAATGAAAGGCACTTAAAGAAAGAAGAAAAAATTTAATAAAGCGCGCCTTAAGGCTTCTTTTGCCAATTCCACTAGCCAAAGTTCGCAATATTAAACGGTCAAGTTGGTAGTTGATCACTTAATTTCACGTTTACTGTCAAGGCCCGTGCTTGTCCCTACGCATGCTTTTTAGAACATTGGCATATAGAGGTTGAGACATGCACTAAAATTTTTCGAGAAATTTTCACCAGCTATATGAAATATTTTGAGTCACATTAATATTTATGCTAAGTGCTAACGACGTGACAAATTCTTCCGCTCAAAGTATATGCATTGCATAGCTCATATAGCTCCCGTTTGAGTTCCATTATGTAAAAATTCATTGTTTTTTTCGAACTCATTTTTAACGACACATTTTCTCAGGAGAGTAATTGGGTTTGCTCCATAAGACATGTTCATAGGAGGCAAATTATTGGGCGGATTGGATGGCCACTCATTTCGACCATTTAAGCTTAGGCTTAAATATTTTTAGTTCCCCTCCAATTGATTTATCTTCTTATTTGCTGGCTGATGCTTTTGGTACAGCTTGACCAAGATTTATACAATTTGAGACTTCTTTATTCTGCAGTATAAGAAAAAAAGGTCTCAAACGAAGCCATAGTAAGGCTTTATGTCCCCTTCATTGTACTGTACTAAGTAGAATCTACATGGAAGAGATCAAGTCGAACTCCAGTCAAGGCAAGGATAAATGGAACTCACATCTAACTCAAGATGGACTTTAACCAAAAAAAGAATATCATAGACTTGTACTGCTAGATCAGGAAATGTAAATTGAAGAGCGAATACGGAGAGAAATTTTGGCAGATATGTTATTTGAAAGAAAGTGAACGTGATTAAGAGTTTGGATAGTTTTAATTTACAATCATGACATGACGGTCACTGGTCACACCACACTTATACGTTAACATAAGCAGGCATATTATAAATAAATTATAAAATTTATAGAGAAATAATGGCGGTGGTATCACCTTTAGCCAAGGTCAAGCTGGTGTTGCTGGGCGATCAATCTGTACGAAAAACCAGCATCATCAGCCGATTTATGTACGGTAAATTCGATAACACTTGTAAGGTTATTTGTTGCCATTTTTCAGTTGTTAAATTTATGGAGATTCTGGTGTATTTTAATAGTACTTGTGGCAATTTTGCGTTACATTGTGATTAGAGATGTTTGACGGGGAAGATAATGAATGATGTTACGATTCACGAACCATACTTAATTTTTTTGGTTAAAAATTTGACAATTGATCATTTGTTAACTGGGATGGAAGGAAGAGTATAGTTTGTTTAAAATCAATCATACATTAGCTCCAGTTTTAGTTTTAAGACAATTCACAATATTAAGGAAGCCATTGTTAGAATAATAGAATGTTTTTAACCAACCGCTGATGACTACATACACAAAAGAACAGAAGTTTTATTATCAAGTATCCCTCAAGTCTAGTCTTAAATCTCTGTTCTTCATATGCAGGCCACTATAGGCATAGATTTCTTGTCAAAAACAATGTACCATGAAGATCGAACCAACCCTTTGCTTGCAGCTCTGGTAATGTATTTTTCTTTCGAGATTTTGAGCAATTTAGCATAAGTTGACCGTGCCATGCACCACTACTTGTTGGTTTTATGTTGACGGGATGAAATTTGGTTGTGTGAAACTAGTCAGTCATTATTATATATAAGTGTCCAAATGCAAGAATCATCATCGCATTGAAATCTCATAACCAATACTTTCATATGACCGGTCACAAGGACACTGTTGATCAAGAGAGATTTAGAAGTCTCATTTCAGGCTACATTAGAGATTCTTCTGTAGCAGTCATTGCCTATGAATATGATGTTGCAAGTAAATCATATATATTTCCCTATTGATTCTCTGCCAAAACTTGCATATTTGGTTATTTTGCTAATCTACTGCCACAGCAAATCGGCAATTGAAATAGCAAAGAAACGACCTTTGGACTTCCTTAGCGGCTTCTATTCCGATGAATAATGAAACACTTGCAAGAAGAGGTTGAGGCTTTCTCCCCCATTGTACCTTTGGTGTGAGAATTAGGGGTGGGGTTTTGAATGTAATCACTTGAGGAAAAATGAGAGGAAGCCAAAACACGTATTGTGAAAAAGAAGACCCCCCTTACCTGACACACCTTTGGAGTATTTATAGGCATTCAACACTATGTAACCACTAGGCAATTTTGTCCACGTGTCCAGTGAAAATCGTCCACTCATCAGGCGATTTTTACCCACGTACTTAGTGGTCAACCTCCACTGACTAAAATGTTGAAAGTGACCTTTGATAACCATAAGTGGTTTTCAATCAATTAAAAGAATTTTCAGATAGTTGAGAGTTATAATGGCCGATCTGCTATAGTGCTAGTCAGGCTAGCACAACAAAAGCCATCTAGCATAGCGGAAGTCATCTAACATAGCGGAAGTCGCCTAGCATAGTGAAAGTTGCCTTCACTTGGTTAGTCATCGTAGTCCACTATTTATATAATGTAGCATCAACAATCATTTTTGAACACTTCAAAGTGGATCGAGGAAGTACGAACAGAACGAGGGACTGATGTCATTATTGTTCTTGTAGGGAATAAAACTGATCTTGTTGAAAAAAGGTAAGGTGGAAAATTTCCATAATTTTTTACCTTTGGTACTTGCTAGTAGTGAAGTCAATCTAAGGGTGCATATCTCTTATCTATTTCTAGATCACGGTTTCTTCAAATAGGGTCCAGAATTGTTCTGATGATGCATTCTTGTGTATAAACAGGCAAGTCTCCGTTGAAGGAGATGAAAAGGCTAGTGAATCTGGGGTCAATACTCGTGCTTTATATTGTGCATAAAGTGCAGAGTCTCTTGTTTTCTCGAGGGACTTCTGAAGGTACTCTTAATTCACACAAGCACATAAAAGCTATATTGTTAAATGATGACTCAAGCATTGTGTTCTTGTATCTTGATGCAAAGTAACATTTTGCAGCCTCTATTCCGAAAAATAGCTGTTGCATTGTCCGGAATGGAAGCTATTTCCTCCACAAAGCAGGAGGTTATACATTGATGTGAATTTGAAGCCCACCACATCCCAAACAGAGCGGCAAGGAGGAGGCTGCGCTTGCTGAAGATTTTATCTAAGATGAAAAGAAAGGGAGGAAAGTTAGAAACACCTACTACTTAAAAAACCCATGCTAATGGTGTCTTAATAGCCAATTCTCATTTTGGATTAGGGGAACATTTTTTTTTTTTTTGGGCATTCTAAACAGCAGATCTCAGGATGCTACAGTTGGTGTAGAAATGGCGTTTCTTCACCAGTGTACTTAAATCTCATTGAGAGTAACAAATTTTGCAGGAATTCAATTATAAAATGTTTTCGGATTTCATTTTCCTTTACAGGCGAATGCAATTTTGACCACAGAGTGTGTCTTTCGTTGTATCTCACGAAGTGGTGTCACATCACGACTGTAGAAAGAAACCCAAGAGTGTTTGGTGGTGATTAATATTAGATTTTTAGTAGATTGTGATAGAAATTTTTGAAATATGTGGTTTAAAAGTTGTGAAACCCATGAAAAATATGATTAATATTAATTGTTTGATTTTGACTTAGATTAAAATCAGATTTTAATTCAGACCAAACATGTGCTTAAATTTTAACCTCTTTCTCTTGTATGGCACACCTAACTTTAAGGAGAGTTTTATTAATGTTGGTAAGCAGGTAACATGACTAATAGATTTACATTTTTAAGAACTGGTGACTCACAATAGCAATGTTCATTTTAAGGGATCCCATCCAGGAACATGTGTTATTAGCGTGCAGCATTTTGCTCATATCATTTTTCCTTGAAAAAATGCTCCTATTTTAACCAGAATCAACAATTTCAGGTGAAAATAATAACGAGTTCAAATTTCCTATAGGCAAAGATATGTATATGTTAAGAGAGTATTTATTTATGTATTAGCTTCCTCACGTCTTCTCATGTCAAGGACCTGCTTCATTTTTCACCAAAAGTTTGTACGTCAAAATTTCATAAATGGATAGAGATAGAGAAGGGAAATCCAACATTTGCCAGCAGAGGTACCATTTTAAACCGCATGTAAATCCTAATGTTTCCCTGATTGATTGTGTGTGTGTGTGTGTGTCAGAGGAGAGAGAAAGAGAGAGTCCTGGACTAGCTGAAGAAGGTGTAAAAGTATACTAAGGTTATAGCATTGCCACCCTTCATATCCAGCAGTAAAAAAGCACCATACGAACGGATAACTGAGCTAAATAATGCTCAACTGTTTGTTTTCTTGTTTTCTTCAATTCAAATATGTCGCTTGTATTGTGTTATGCCTTTTTATGCCCTTGTGTGGCCTGGATCAGATGGTTATAATAAGATATCTCACACAGCAAAACATTCCTCAAAGCAATCTGAACTATGCACAGAATTGCTAAAAAACAATTCATTGCACAACAGTCTGCATAGCAACCACTATATCCTTACTATCAAGAATCAAACTGAATTTTTTTTGTACAAAAAGGAATCCAATGGACCTTCTAAATGTGGTTTCAAATTTCAGTGTATGTGCATTAACAAAAAACCTAGACCACAGTACCACGAAGGGATATAAGCAGAGCAAAGAAAAGAAAAGAGCAAGGTAAAAGCCAAGTGTCCTAATCAGATTGCAAGGGAAAGCAGATGTGTCAAACATTACCAGACCTATCACCAATCAGCCACATCCGCAGAGTCAGATATATTAGGACTATTGTTCCCATGATCGACCTGGGAAGGAAAAGATAATCTAGTTAGTTACCGGCAACCAGAGTAATGGTGAACAAAACCTAGAATTTAGGTTAAAGAATAATTAGTTCAAGAGGAATGAAGGCGATAAGCTAAAAGCTTCAAGGAAGTCATGTGGGTGAAGTGAACTTCTCTCTCACTCTCATGCACACGTGCAGACTCGCGAATGCACCACTTTTTACTATAAACACGAGTGACATAAATCTGGAATTGTTGCACTTGAAACTCACTTTAATATGAATAACTTCTACCTTAATTATCAAAAACTGGTCTATCATGATGTTTCGCTAAATCGAAGCCTCCTCCACCCCACATCTCCCCTCCAGGTAGCGCAACGACAAGTACAATGAAAACAACAAGAACTAAGTCGATTAGTGTGTGTAGCACCTACTCAAACATTATTCTAACTATGGAAGCATATTAGCAACTTAACCGATTTAGTGTAATCTGCTACCGATTTAGCATAATCTGCTACACAATAGTTTTTCAATTGCTCCAGTTACACAATGGCAAAAACTATAATTTCACATTGGACATTATATTAGGCGTTTTTATACATGTCCTATCCATTTTTTTATTTTATTTTTTTTATATAATTGATTGTATTTATCACCGAAAGAGTAAAGAAAAAGTAGCAGACAGCAGCATACTGCCTGGGTTTCAATGACTTGTACAAACAAATATAAATAAACAATCTGTGGTCCCAACAAGTGGGTAATTATCAACCTCTGCATTTCCTTCACCGAGGCAGTTCTACATTTACAATGCCGAAAACAATGACATGAAAATATCAAGTTGGTGATACAAATTTATATCATGATTTCAAGCCATCATGCAATTTCATGTTTTATCCTTAAACCTTGAAGACTACTTGTCTTTTGCTTCGTGCACTTTGACGTCAAGTTGTAAATTCTATATTGTAAGAATTAATTGAACATGTAATCCAACTTCATTTAAATGAGATTGTTCAATAACTAATGTGATGTGGTTTGAGCTTACAAGACTGAGAACAGAAGAACTACTCTCCTTGAATTGAAGGAGGTGGATCGCTTGTATTTCCTTGATCTGTTAGTAAGTGTATCATAAACTCTCTCAGTCAAAAACTTATCTGTTACATAATACGGAAAATACTTGTTAGCAAGTGAATCTCATAGACACAAGGCATATGATTCTAAAATATCGATAGTCTCTGTTTCGACTTTCCAAGAAAGAAAAAGGAATGAGGAAAAATGAAAGCAATGTGAAAGGGTATTATCTCTTAAAACTTCCAGTCCTGCTGGCTAATCCAATAAACAGCACGGTCTATTTGCACAAGTTTTACCTTTCGAGACCTCAGGATGAAGAGTGAAAAGAATGTGTATCATGCTTCTGATTCATGCCAAACTCGGAGTCTCACATTTGGATGGTGTCAATGCTTCTGATTTATGTTAGACTCGGGGCCGAAAGTTTGGGAACCAAATTAATTTGGGGATGGATAAGTTCCAAGTGTTCATAGGGGTACCTATTCTTCTGAAATTTGGTACGCTAACAATTTGTAATGCTAAAGCTTCTCCCCCTTTAATCTTAATGAGGCAAAAGCTTCGAAATGGAAAAAATAATATAAAATATTTGTTTCATGGCATAGCTTGTGTAATCACCAGAAAGAATATATCATGAAATCATTGCAACAGAAAAAGATCCAGAATTACAAACAATAATGCACTAAAAAAGCTGAAGTCAGAAGATGTCATACAATAGCTACCTCTGGAAGTGAACTTGGGTAACTCAGAGTTATTGTTCATCTGCGTGAATTTTCCTCCCATTAGTAAGCTAATCTCTCTCTGTAAGTTTCTCTGCAAAACAGCTTATTGTCACTTTGAAATACCAAATACAAGAACCACCAGAGAAAAATTGAAGAACCACAATGAGACAATGCACCCGTGAGACAGAGAAAATGGCTCTCATCCTTCCAAAAGTATTTTACATGGATTCCTAACAATTGAAGCCTGAGTAGTTTCGCATATCAAGAACTTACTGCAAAGCAATCATTAGTCTTCAGATGATCAACAGAATCGTCATTGGGATTAGGGTTTTCTGACTTTCCTTTCTCAATATCAACATCTAAAATACATGGGGCACAGTTGTTTGCTTTATCCATCTTCAGGTTGGCATTTTCCAAATTTGACTCTGTAGCCAAGCACACGTCACTTTTCATCGTATTAAAATCTTCCATGCGCCTGACAATATTTAGCTGCAATTCGTACTCTGGTTTGGCAGTTCCTCCACCTGGCAACACCACTACACTATCAACACTTTGGCACTGAAGAAAAAGAAAGTAGAAAATCATTTTACTCTGTTGCTTTTTCATTGGAAATACAGATCATGGAAGAAATCAAACAATCGAAAGCATAAGGGGAAAAATGTAAACTAAAATCGTAAAAACCAAATAAGTTAAAACTCCAAAATAAGCAATGAGTCAAAAAGAGAAATGAAATTACAGAGAAGGGAATACCAAAGACAATAATGGAAACTGGTTGCAATGACCAAAAGACAACATTGTGGCAACTTATTTTACAACTTTAACAGAAGTGATTCCTGGAGGCAAAATTTCTTAAACAGAAGCACTCTCATGCTTTATATTGAATGAAATGATTGCCTAGAGTTCATTTGCAAACTTCAGAGCTCAATTTTGTCCAAGCTTTATATGAGCTAAACATTAATGGATAGCCACGCCATTCATCACATGCATAAAACAAGGTAAAGGTCAATTTGTTTGCATGTGTGCATTTCAGCAGCCTTTCTATTTTTCACGTGTCTCCCTCCAACTGACCACCACCAATCGTAAGGACATTCAAACTTGTAGCAGGGATGAACATCACCAGTCAAACTAGAAGTACTGAAAATAAGTCGCATTTGGTGCATCCCTACTATGTAAGTTTTAGTTGCAATATCCTCAACATTCAGAAATAAACTTACCAGTCAACGATGTAAAGTTACGCATGGATCACTTAAGTGAAGCAAATCAAAGACTCGACCATACAAAAGACTCCCCTATATAAGGTATATGTTCAGGTCCAAAAAGCTATGATCTATCAGTTATTTTACTTCACATATTTCCTTCCTTTCATCTTGAACAAAATCTCATTTTATCTCTCGTGAATGAGAACCAATGATTAAGGGTCCAAAAAGCTATGATCTACAAATTATTTTACTTCACGTAATTTTGTCCTTTCATCTTGAACATAATAATACTTATGGGGAATGGGGAGATCTCTTCCCTTTTGTGCAGGTTCTGGTCAGGAGCTTCGGAAGGAGAATCGTGAGAGCAGATGAAAGATTGGAGTAAAGCAGATTCTGGTCATAAAAGCATCTATCATTTAGCAAACAACTATTGAGACCGGATCGAGAAATATACTTCGATAATCATAGATATTACTAACCAACATTCATATTAGAAATGTGAATACACTTGCTAATCAATCAAAATCATCTGCCGAATAAGATTAAAGTATGTTTCTTAGACACATGTTTCATTAACCTTGTGTTCAAATTTTACGGAGAAGCTTTTGGTTTAAAATCATTGACAAATGCCAAAAATGGTTGAAGAATAATTTTTACACAACCAAAAAATCCATAAAAACATTTCTTTAGTGGAAATTAAGGAAACCTTAAATAAGTTTGTATTAGAGAAGAAATTAGAATTCTACTCTATGTTACTTTCCATTAATTATTAGAGAAAATTTGCTGGAGAGGCCACATCCAGGGTGGGAAAATGAAAAATAGCCAGTCTTAAAAGATTTTTTTACGAATAGCCTATTAAGAACCTGTTTGGTACAGATTCTCATTTTCTACAGTAAATCAATTCTCATTTTCAACCACACATTCTTCAATAAAATAATATTTTTCATCACATCAATACTTTTTTCTTCTTTTTCAACCACACATTTCCCATTATATCACTAAAATAGCCTATTAAGAACCTGTTTGGTACAGATTCTCATTTTCAACCACACATTCTTCAATAAAATAATATTTTCCATCACATCAATAATTTTTTCTTCTTTTTCAACCACACATTTCCCATCATATCACTATTAAAAAATCAATTCTTCCCCCAAAAATCCCGACCAAACACACTCTAAATTCCATCTACCTTTTAAAAGTCGACCATTGAGGTCGATTTGGTCAATTGGAATGCACCTTTTCAATAAAAATAGTGAAAACAGACTATGACCATTTTTATTAAGCTTAAAGTAGAGATAAAGATATAAGGCCTCTTGAACAAAAAAGTAAAAAAGGTAATTATTTTTTACTTTAACCATTAAAGGCTAATCTGGAAAAATGCACCATTAATTATTAGTTTCTCCAAACCTACTCTACACAAATATGCACATCAAATCATGGATTTAGAAATCTAATAAACTCTGATAATGAAACATAGAGCACACATACATAGAATGCTGAACTGTAGCTTATTAACTACCTCTTTGGGCTTCATATGCATCCAGCCAAAATATAGGATTTTGCAGCAAAAGATTTGATTCTATATTAAGAATAGTGCTATCGAAATTTTCACCATAGTATAAAATCATTGCAATTCTAACACGAAATTACACATTCTCGAAATGAAGAAAAAAATTAATCCGATAGCCATTCGGTTACCCCTCAAAAATTACCTCCTGTTTCCCAAGAACAAGTAAATTTTATTCTAATTCAAATAGAAATGCTGAAGTAACTTTCTTCCTGTATTTGAAATTTGAATGTTACCGATATGTTGGTCAACGGATAAATATAAGGTAAAAAGTTACAGAAGAACAACTCAATTCAGAAATCTCAGATTAATAATAGCAAATAACCAATCGATACAATCAGCACAGACGTCAATCCGCTGCCGAGCGGACGATACACCGAAAAAAAAAAATTTTAAATTTGAAATTGAATCACAGAGTTGAACTTCAAAAGAGAGCAATAACTAACCGCCATTGTCGAAACAATGAGCAACGAGAAAAAAGATAATTCACGTTTTAATTTTTCTCTTCTGCATTTCTGATTTCGTAATCACATACGATGCACGTGCGGTGTGCGGTTGTGTACGTAACATTTGTGTGCGCGGGGGTTCGTTTGAGTGAGTACGCACGTGCCCGCAGGCGCTGAACGCGAAGAGGAGCAGCAATTAGCTAGGGAAGATCCAGATCATGACATTACGACAAACATTTTCTGTTTTTTTTTTGTTTTTTTCGCTTGACGGTTTTGCCCTCAAGATGCTTGTCTAATAACCAGTGCTACCCCACTTCTGTATTATTATTTTGTTTGAGTAATGCTATTCATCCCACTCGGGATGAAAACACAGTATACGTGGCGTTAATGTGATATTAAATGATAGGTGAAATTAAATAATAACTTATTATTTAAAGCCACATAGACTGTGTTTTCATCATCACTGAGTATGAATAACATTACTCTTTTGTTTTGGGAATTAGTATATTTTACTGGGGTTGGTGAAATTTATTACTATTTTGAATTTTCTATAATTTATTACCGACAAGACTTTAAAGCGGAGGGATGGCTAGAAGATAAACTAATGAATTAATCAAAAATCAGAAATGGTTGGTTGGGACTAATTTCATAAGGGAGAAAAATTTTAATTTAAAAAAAAAAAAAAAGTGTAAAGGAAAAACTTATGTAATATAACACATTTCATTCGATTAGCAAGCGGATAAATCATTTTCCACTTGGAAAAATCGTTATTACCCTAAATTTTAACCACACATAAAATAAAATTACTCAAAAATTCTTCTTACTATTTCAAAATTAATTTTTTTTTTTTTTAATAATGGAGTTCAATTGCTCAAACAAACAAGGGTTAAAAGCCCTCCTTTGAATTGTTTGAAATGCTACAGAATCAGAAATTGTACTGGCAATGGTTTATATCATAAAATAGGGTTTGTATTGAATTATTTGAAATATTGTGAGATTTTTTCAGTCAATAAAAATCTTTTTTTTTCTTGTAGTTGTAAAGAATGTATTTTTCTCTTTCCGATTCGTTTTTTGTGATTTTGTTTCCTGCGCTCGGTGGAAATTATTATTTTTTCCCCAACAACAACCGATTTACGAGTGATTTTCAAATATGGCTATGCAGTGGATATGTTTATGATTGTTAATTTAACATGTGCTACGATAGTTACATGGGTTGAAGTTGGTGAATTATAGATTTAGAATTCACTATGCTGTTTAGATTTATTTGGAGATCAGCATGTGGGAGGTTCATATTATTTGATCGTACGGAACGTTCGCCATATTCATTGTACGAGTCCAGTACTAAGAGGTCTTGATGTTGATCAATTTAAAGATATGAACTGTACAATTCAAAAGGGTATAACACTAGTCATTCTTATGTATTGTGTAACGTAGATAAATGGCAAGAAAATCATTAATGTATGTCGTGTCAACAACGAATATCTAAGGGTGTTACATTATTATAATGTCATTAAGATATTGCACGCATATTGTAAGATAATGAGAATTTTAGAACTCCCAAAAGTCTCGAATATGATAGTCATCACATTTCATGCATTCTAGTGCACACGTGCACCATACTTTATCCACTAGACCCGTGGTCTTTTCGTCCCACATTAACAGTGGTGTCAAAATGTGCAGGACGGTTCGAACGGCCCACGGCCGTCAAGACATGAAAGCGGCATGGTCCACGTGTGTTAAAGGATCGGCCATGAAGGTTTTCGTGCCAAGTAAAATTGGTCCACAAAAAAATTGTCAAGTCCGAAGATCGGCCAACAACTCAACCAATTCAATACACTTTTTGTATTTATACGAGAGGCAATACAAAAATTTGCCTCTTGTATAGAAGGCAACAGCAATATTACCATTTGCTGTTGCCTTTTGTATAACATGTAAAAGGCAAAAAGTTGTTAATTGACTCGTCATGTCTACTAGTTTTTTAATTTTAATTTTTTTTATTCATCAATCATTTAAAAAAAAATTTAATTTATAATAACATGTAAAAGGCAAAAAGTCTTTAATCGACTTGTCATGTCTATCAATTTTTTAATTTTAATTTTTATATTTTTCAATCATTTTTTTAAAAAAAATTAATTTATATTTTAATAATATTAAACGGGCTCAACGGTTAACCATTGGGCCCAAACAAGCAAATCGAATCAGCCTAGGGTTTTCGTCTATTGACCCGTGAACCGACTGGTCCGACTCACTTGGTTTATGGGCCATTTCTAACGGGCTGATCCTGAGCGGGCCATGTTAGGCCCGCCCAATTTGACACCACTACACGTTAATAAAACTTTCAGAAATGCACAACTTAGGCGTTGGGTCATGTAGCAATTGCTCTTTGGGAGC